ACTAACAGGAAGAGACTTCTTGTGAGAACATACTCTGAACATACTTGTAAAAAAATTAACTGAAACAAAATAAGAAAAAAATAGACTATGAAATAAGAAAGCATTTCACCATAAAAAAAAAAAATCCTTTTGGGTATGTAAGCCAAACAAGAGGGAAAATTATTTTCAGTACTTTATTAATGACCTCTGAGCAACGGCTTTTCCATTGAAAACCAAGCTGTTAATACTCATCAGTAACTTAACCAAATAGTAGACATTTTCCCACGTACCACTGTTACTGATTTCACCTTCAATATTTACTAGGGGAAGAGAGTTTCTAAGAAACATTCTAGTCTTCAGTCTCAGTAAAACTAACTTTTCCCCCTCATATTCTGTAAATTAAATAACAGTATTTTACATACTCATTAGATGAATTAAGCTTTAATTTTGCTTTGCTAAACCACACTAAAACACAATTTAGTACTACCAAAAGCCACAATTAGGCTATCTTCAATAATAAAAAAATACTAATCTAGAATGTCAAATTCATGAAAATATTTCTCTCTTCAATGAGAAGACTTGGTTCATCTCAGAATCACTGAAAAATAACTAGACATACACCTGATTATTTACTGTAGAGCAAATTACAGCCTTTTATTGAAGTGACTAGGCTAAAAGTCACATTTGGTGCTATGATGGCATAACAAAAAATGTACTGTGGGTAAATCCCACGTGTTTAAATTCAGTTTAAATTGCCCAAGTACAGGTGTAATGGTTTTTTTTGTTTGTTTTGGAAATTACTTTTTCACATTTTTTTTCACTCAAATCTCAATAGTCAGTATCAATCTGCATAATCAATCATTCATGATATATGAATACGATTTATTAACTGCAAGGAACTCTTACCTGCATAATTCTTCCAGTTTATTCATTTTTCTGTAAGGTATAAGCAAGCACTGACATGCTCAAAACTTTCTTAATTGTTTTTTAAATTCCCTGGCTTTCTAAGGCACTCTAGAGAAAACACACTAAGGTAGGTGTCACATTTCCCCCGATTAAAAACTATGGGCTTAAAATCCTCCTATCCTCTGTGATTGTGAATGCAAAGATCACTGGGACAATAGGAGTTTTTCTTAACTAGTTGCAACTAAATGTCAAACTACATAAAAGCAATAATTCATATTCACTAAAATTTAACAGGAATGTACTGTCAGGCACCCATGTGATGTGGGGATACTTCAAAGGAACCGAGGCCCAGAGGCAGAGGGGAGAAGCCCAGAGGCCCTGATAGATACACGAGAGACGGCGTTACAGTACCTGCCAGCCTGTGAGAGCAGGGAGAGTAAGAGAGACCAGGGAAGAGGGCGCTCACGGTGTGGAGCAGGAGCGGGACGCTTTTAGTGGCTGGCAAAGCCTCAGAAAGGTGGACACAGTTGCTGATAGACTGGCTTCGCTTAGCTTCCAGGAGAGATAAAGTGATAATTAAGTCAGAAGAACATCCGAACCTTTCACTTCTTTATTATCATTATTATTGTTTTCTGGGTCCTCTTGAAACATTTAAAGGAGGTCATTTCAAGCTTTCAAGAAAGTCAGTACAAAGCACAGCATTTCATCACAGTTTCCAAATACAGCCAACTTTCAGTCTGTCGCTCTGACAGCATAGGGTATTTATTTTGTGATGCTTTGCATGTTTAAGCCTTTCCTTTTTCCTGCTCTGTACACACTGGGGTTGCATTCGCATCCAGATTGTTTACTTGGGCAGATGTTACAGTCAGTTTCTCCTTTCTAAAGGATACACATAAAAAGACCCCGGTGAGAGAGAATATATGTGACCTAAAGATTAAAATTCTTCTATAAATAATCAATGATGCAGAAATTGGTTTACTGAGAGATGACTGTATTCACAACTAATCATTCAGAAAGTATCCCGAAGCCTCCAGAACACAGAAAAGTCAAATTGAACATTAAAAGATTTGATATTTAAAGACAACGTAAAGTACCCACGAAACCCACCCCTTATGCCATATTTCATGATTATTATAAAAGCCCATGATTTCCTTAGTGTCAATGTTATGATGTTCTTAAATTTTCCAAACACCTCTAGTCAAATAACACTGGAGAAAATGGATGGACACAGAGGGAGGACACGCCTCCTGTACGTAATCAGTAAGATCAGTTCTATCCTAAAACAAAATGCAAAGGTTTACTTATTTTTTTATGTGACTTCAATTAACATTAATGAGAAAGAACTATGAACGACAATGACACATTTGCAAAAAATGAAAGAAATTTTTAAACTTACTGTCTTTCCCCCCATCCTTTGCCTGTTAGAATTCTCAGTGAAAGAACTCTCTACGAGGTGCGTGCGGTACAATTCACATGAGTGTGGGTGATATGCAAATGGAAACTTCCATTACATGTCAAATTTACTGACTTCAATTTCCTGAAAAATTTGTTCATGTCTCAATATGTCAGATTTTTCATTTGAGTGTTGTTTTCCTTTTATAAATCAATGATTATGTATTTTTCCAAAATTAATTACCAAATATTTCAGAAATAACAATACGGAAAGTTTTATGGGGAAGTTAAGACTTGCTTTGGGGCGACAAAGCAAGTGGGCAGGGCGCCACCCACATACACCGAGGCTGGCAGGTTCAAACCCGGCCCTGGCCTGCTAAACAACAATGACAACTGCAATAAAAGAAATAGCCGGGCATTGTGGTGGGTGCTTGTAGTCCCAGCTACTTGGGAGGCTGAGGCAAGAGAATCGCTTGAGCCCAAGAGTTTGAGGTTCCTGTGAGCTGTGACACCATGGCACCCTACCCAGGGCGACAGCTTGAGACTCTGTCTCAAAAAAAAAAGACTTGCTTGGTCGTGGTCTCATTTTAGACATCCAGGCTCTTATCATTCATACTCAGGGACAGGGTTTTCTGTTATAATTTTTTCACACTCCCCTTTCTCAGGCTGTCTAAGTTATAAACAACCACAGTCTCTGTTAAACTAATTTTCATTTCTCTGCCCTGCAACTGCTTATTTCCCTCAGGCCACTATCTGCATTATTTTCCCTTCCTAAGTGAAAACCTGTGGGAGAACCCACTTTGTAATGTACTATTTTCTTACTGGGAAAGGTTACATTTAAATGGGTCTTCCACAATAAACATCTACAGCTAACTTCACAACCTGCCAATCTCTCATTGGCCTCTACACCCATCTCCCACGAAAATACTCTGGGCCTTTTTAAAGAAGAAAAGCTAAGTTATTACACAACATAAAAAATAACAGAACTGAGTAAAACGCTAATATTTTAGTCTATACAGATTAACTTAAAAAACAGCATGACATGATAAAACCTTCAAAGACCATTGTTTTACAGGTAACAAAAAAAATAATATTTTGTTATAACTTTTTAAAATGCAAAATACAATAGGAAATGTGTGTCTCCATGTCCATAAACACACACATAAAATACTATGCTGTCCGACTCGAGAGTTCTCATCTTCGTTATCTTTTAAAGGTTGTTGTTCCAAATGGTTTTTTTAATCAATCTTACAAAGGCCAGGCCTATTGTTTTTAAGCACAAATTCCAAATACCTTTATACAATTTTTTTTAAGTGCCTATTTTGCACTATCGTGGTTTCTCAGACAACTGGAACACCGGCAAACACGGCTGCACTAGCGGAACCGCACTGAGATTACTTCCTAAAACACACTGCTGCCTCTACCTTGTCACTAACTGAAAACACAATAATGCTGACAACCAAGACGGTCTCTTCTGTGATTACGCTTTAGACTAGTAGTGGCATACAGAATATGCACCTGGAGGTAAAATTTAGTAAGTGTTAGTGAATTAATACTTTTACTATAGTAGTGATTCAAGGATTGTGTGGGACAGCAGGAAGTGTGGGCAGCTCAGGCATGATGCCACCTTTGTCACAAACTTCCGATCCTTTTCTTTTAAGGATCTAGTGACAGAAGAAAAGAGTTTTTAGGAGTCAGAATAAGAATGGAAATCAGTGACCAAGCATCCTCAAAAGCTGCCTATTAATTAGGAATTGGATCTCTCCTTGGGAGAGAATGATGGAAAGAAAGGAGAAGCAGGACAGGAGGTGTGTGACAGTCGCTACACCAGCCAGTGCTGCAGCCCAAGGCTGTGGGCAGTTCAGGCTGGGGTATGACACATCTTCTAAGAACTCCAATAGGATTCTAAACCACCTGTTTAAGCCTTTACTAAGCAAGCACTGTAGAGTATGTTCAGCTTTAATGAATCTGTTTTATGGCCAGAGAATCTTGTGAGTTTCTGAAGTCAATATCTGTTGTAACTGCATTGTATTACTAATGAGAAAAACTATAAGAAATGAGATAAAGCTATTTTAAACCTAAATTACAGTCTCAAAGTCACTGGCAAAGAGAAGAGTTTACACATAAAAAGCTTGCCTCCAGTACTTAAAGTTCTTCTTAGACACTGGAAACAAGATTCCTTTTTAAAGATTTAAAGATTTATCTTTTTTAATTAAGAGTGAAATATACCCCAATTAACTCGGGTTCTTGGTCAAGTTCTTATCAATTGAAATAGGCTACAAAGACATTTATGGACAAGAAAAGCTCAATTTTCCAAAGCAACAAAAAAGAAAATGTCTCTGCCTAGGCCTGAACACTTTTCTTTGCCAGAACAGGCCACCACAGTCTTAAGATTAACATAGTTTAACAATGGCAATAATGTAACTAACATTTATTAAGACTATTTTTTTCGAACTTCAAATAAAAGCTTTATCTTCTCTATTTTGTACAAATATCTCACTTAATACTAACATCCCAAGTTCCCTTTCACATGGAGGATTTAGAAATAAGTATCAAAAACTATGATTTGAAAAGTAATCAAAACAGAAAGTTAAACTGTAGAAACATTTCATTTAATAAAAGGTTGAATATTTAAATTTTGAGTAGAATTTCAAAACATTTTATTCCTATAAAACCATGTCAGATAAAAACTCTTTTTGAGAAATATTCAAATAAACGTTTACCAGTTGCTTTTTGGCGAACGGTGTTTCTTGCCTTCTCAACTCCCGGCGCCCCGGACGTGGTGGCGCTCCTAAACCGCATGGGCTCTGCCACATCCGGGTGGCTCCGCCAGCTGAGAGAAAAGGACCTCCCCACGGCGGCTCCCTTCTGAGGATCTAGAACACAGCCTGAGAAAGGACAAGAGGAGAACTTTAATCTAAGCCGTGCTGCTCGGCAAACAGTGCTCATACAATTATACATATAATGAGCTGATTCCCTCGTTGCAAATTACGAACCACTTTCTTGCACTGCGGAAATCAGTCACATATCACTAATCTAAAAATTCCTGTTGCCAAAGTATTTTCAAGCATATTTAATAGTCTCATGAAAATTTTTTTTTTTTTTTTTTTTTGAGACAGGGCCTCAAGCTATCCCCCTGGGCAGAGTGCCGTGGCATTACAGCTCACAGCAACCTCCAACTCCTGGGCTCAAGCGAGTCTCCTGCCTCCGCCTCCCAAGTAGCTGGGACCACAGGCGCCCGCCACAACGCCCGGCTATTTTTTGGTTGCAGCCGTCATTGTTGTTTGGCCGGGCCCGGGCTGGGGATTCGAACCCGCCACCTTAGGTGTATGTGGCTGGCGCCCTAGCCTGTTGAGCTATAGGCGCCGAGCCAGTCTCATGAAAATTAACCTAACTCCATACTCCTTACTCCAATATACAAAAGAATATCTTAATGAACCTTTCTCAATACAAGAACAATGTCAAATCAAATTATATCCCTGTCCTAGGACAGTCCACAAACCACTACTTACACGCCAAACACTTAAGGATGCTGATGCCAGAACAGTGCTGCACTGTAGATGCCAGCCCCCCACAAACCCCCAGAGAAGGCCAGGCCTGTGAATCCCACTGCAGATCCTGCCAAATGAGCAGGATAATGAATCTATAAACAACACAAAATCCTTCTTTAGCAAACTCCAAAAGAACAAAACACTGCAGTCTGAGGTTCAACTTCCCTTCTTTTCTCTTATATTGCTCTGGTCAATTATTTTACTGAGAGGTCAAGAATCCAAAGAAACAGCGGGAGGAGGAGAATGAGAGACTCAGAGGTCCCTGCACTGGACCCACGTGGCTGGCAGCTCGTTTTCATGACAATTCCCTCTGCCCACATTTGTTGTTTCCATTAGTCTAGTGTTTAGATGGCAAGTGTTTCTATATAATAAATATTTGAATCCTTTTTAGAATAAAGCAAAATAAATCTGAAACATTTGTCATGGTCATTGATTAAACAGTTTGTTCTGTACTATTTTGAAAATAGTGCTTTCCAAGGTGTTTGCTATCCTGAGACAAGGCTCTGTCTCCATATGAATCTGTGTCTGCACACTGAGAGGGGAGAGAATGTCGCAGGTGGTGGGGAGCACGTGTGTGTGTGCGCGCACAAGCAGTATGCACGTGCTTCTGTGTGCCCAAGTGTACATACGTGTACATGTATGTGTCTGCACCTGCTTGTGGTGTGTGTATGTGCTTGTGTGTGATGGATTACATGAATTTCAACTAAGAGGTACTTAGTTTGAGGACATAGGTCCTCTCCTTCTCCAGCCTAAAACAGGGAGCCTCTCTTCTGGGCTGAGAGCCACTGCAGAAAGGGTCCAAGCTCCTGGTTAGGAGCATCTGCATCCGGTCAGGCCCTTGGCCCACACAGAGGCCCTCAGAGCTGTAAGGAGGAGGATATGGGGGCCGAGGGCCAAGGCTTTTGGCTCCATACTCCTATTTCAACCCCAATATCAAAATCTAACAGTTTGTTAGGTGTTCTATACAACTTCAACTGGGGAGAAAAAGCATCTGTTGCTAAAAAATGTTAGAAAAGAATTTCTTTAGATAGTCTAAATCGGGGGTCCTGTAACTTTTTAAACAGGGGGCCAGTTCACTGTCCCTCAGACCACTGGAGGGCCGGACTGCGAGGCCCAGGACGAGTTGGCTGCGAAACAGGACAGGCAGTGGGGGCAAAAACACCCTGTGGGGCAGATAAATGTCCTAGGCGGGCTGCATGTGGCCCGCGGGCCATAGTTTGATGAAGCCTGGTCTAAATCTAACCTGGAATTAAACTGTTCCCCTGGAATGCCAAGTACTTAAAATCTTCGTTTGGCTTCTTACTAACTTGCTTTTATTAACTGGTGCTTTGACCATTCTCAGACCATAATGAAGATATTATAAGAATCAGTCACATTAATTACATGTCAATATCGTTATAACGAATCATGGTAATCGTTGGCACTTCCCCAAATCCACACTCTTTGTTCCTCCCCACACTGACTTTAAGCTTCATCATATGACTGATTTTGGTGGTAAAACTGAACAGGGAGAGACTTGAAAGGCACTTGAAAATTTGCCCTTTCACTGCTCCTGGAACTCTAAGCTACCAGAACAAATGTGAACAAAACTATTGCTGGCCCTCTGGCAGATGAAACACGGTCCAGTCCACCTCCCAGTGATGACGGCCAGCCAATCCCTGGGAGTAAGCTCCCTTGCTGACAGTTTCATGGCACAGGCTGACTGCAAACAAAGACGTGAATCCAGGTAAGTCTAACAGAACTGACCACCTGAGTCCAACCCACATTGTCATATCATAAAATCATGACCTAAATAAATAGCTGTTATGTTAAGCCACTAAATTTTATAGCAATCTGTTACACAGCAAATCAAACTGACACTGTTTATAATAAGGTTACTATTGACTTGTGTAGCTTACTACAATAAGCAATGTGTATCCTTTATTGGGCTTTGAAGGAGATATTCCTCCCAGGTCTCAGGAACCAAAAAAGCTACATACCACCTAAGTAAGAGGAATTTGTTTTTTTAACTTACTTTGTGATTCTCTATTTAATGTAATGTGCAATCATTACACAGATCAAAGTCAAATCAATGTTGGTCTCTCCCATTTCTCTAGCAAGCACACAGGGACCTAAGGCACGCATCTCAGCATCAGAACCATCCCAGGCTCACTCTGCCCTGACTTCCACTCACATTTGATCTACTATATCTTTTGTATTTCCATAAGCTGCTTCAAATCTTTACAGAACAAGTTGGAGTACAGATGACTTAATCCAAGGACTCCGCCGCAGTCCTTAGGGGCAGTAAGGAAGACAAGACGAGCCAAACCACCATTCCCAGGAGAAACCACCACTGGTGTTCTCTGCCTTGAAAAATCATTCCATTTGAGACTCCTGGTCTTAAAACAATTTATACCCAGAAACACAACAAAGCCAGGATGGCTCCAATCTGAAGCATTCAGAACTTCACAACCTTCCCAGGAATCCAACAGAATACACCTTAGACATGTGGCTTCCTGTGTTGAACTTGTCTGGCTTTCACTTCTGGCTTTACCACTTCTCATCTATGTGACTGCAAATGAGAAATCACTGTAAGGTCTGTGCTCTGTCAGTGATACGGGTAATACACCAGACGGTATATACTTGATAGGTTATCAAAGGGTGGAGAGTTAACCTGTACAAAGCACCAGTCATTGTTACACCTGTTACTGTTAACCATCACCGCTACTACCACTATTTCCCTTTCATTTTCCTCTTCGGAAATTTATCAGCCTCATTAAAGGAAACAGTGTTATGAGACAGAGGCTAATACCACCATTAAAAAGATACTGTCTCGGGCGGTGCCTGTGGCTCAAAGAAGTAGGGCGCTGGCCCCACATACCGGAGATAGTGGGTTCAAACCCAGCCCCAGCCAAAAAAAAAAAAGACCCTGTCTCTGTAGTTGGTTAAGTGCATTATAAAACTTCACGCAGTAATTGCTTACACATATAAATACACATTCCTCCCCAACCCCAGACAGCCGGTGTTACTCTGGAAGAGTGGAAATACCTTTGCCTCGCTGCTTCTTCTCCTTTTGTTCACTTAGTTTATCCAGAGGTAGGTTTGTCAACTCTACACCATAAACCGTTTTTGCAAGCACTGCTGTCAAGGAGTCCATGATGCTGGCCCACTCGCTGATGAGCTCTTCCCACTCCGTGAGGGAGGACAGCACACCAAGGAAGTCATCCCAGAGCTCTCGAGAAATGTAGACAAAGAGGTTTGCTCGGATCCAAGCCACGATGAGCGTCTGAAACCAACAAACCAACAGAAGAATCCAATCACATTCATTCAGAAGTATAACTTTTCATTTAGTATTTTTAACTAAGTGCTTTTGGATGCTGTGTTCTTTTTAATTTCTCAAAATTCATTTGACCAGTTGTAATCAGGATTTGCGCTCTGGTGAAAATAGTTATTATGACAAAGTTATTGATTCACTATTACTTACTGTCTGTGGCTGGCTCTGGCTACAACCACAGGGAAGACAAAGCCCCTGTACACATATTCTGCTTCCTGAGCTCGCTTTTGTCCTAACTCTCCACAGTGGCTATTTCAAACTTTCTCTTCTATATGAAAACTTCCAACCCACCCCTCCTAATTTTTAGTATGCAGACTCACTACAGAGTTGGAGGAAACAGAGTCCATTAAACGAGACTGCCCTCAACCCCTGCTCCGTCCACATCCGCCCACTTCTCCTCCACTGTGGGACGGGGTCCAAGGGGGCTCCTGCTCTTCTGTGCCGGTTCCCCACTCATCACTGACCTCTTCCCTGTAATTGCTGTGCCTCTACTGACCCCACCTCTCCACCTCCAACCTATCCTACTTCCCTAGTTCCTTCCCATCAGCATTTAAATATCTTCCAATTCTTCTTCATCTTAAAAACACAAAAAATTTCCATTGAACCCAGACTTCTTGCTCGAGCTACATCCCTTCTCCATCCCCTTCCACAGCCAAACTTCTTGGAAGAGTGTTCCATACTCTCTCTGTCTCCACTTCCCATGTCCCAGGCTACGGCCTGCTCTGGCTTCCTCCAACTTCTGCCACTCCAGCTTCCGCTTGGGTTTTGGTCTCCACTCCTATCCTCTGCATGCCGGCGACTTCTGAATATCCCTGTCCAGCCTGGTCTCTTTCTTGGTCTCCACTCCTACCCTCTGCATGCCGGCAACTTCTGAATATCCCTGTCCAGCCTGGTCTCTTTCTTGGTCTCCACTCCTACCCTCTGCATGCTGGCAACTTCTGAATATCCCTGTCCAGCCTGGTCTCTTTCTCGGTCTCCTCATCTGTCCACCTGCTTACCGGACAGTTCTACCTGCACACCCCACAGGCACCTACACTACAGCATAACAGGAAAAATAATTCAGTTCCTCCCAATGAGACTCTCCCAGTTCCTTGACCAGCTTGCTCCTGCCCCTGCCCTTCACACGCAGACTTCCTTCCCTCCTTTTCGTACCTCCTAATCATTCTTCAAGTCACAGTGTGGACACTGCTTCCTCCAAGAAGGTATCCTGACTACCCACCGCCTGCCTCCCATCCTCTAGGGAGCATCCTTTGGTTCTGGCAGCTCCCTGCAGCTCCCCCCACCCCCGGGCACCTGTCACTCTGTCCTTACCTGTCTATTTCCTTCTGTGTCCCTCCTCTGGTCTCATGGTCCTCAGCACTACAACTAGTCACATGGACAACACCACGAGACAATTATGCTCATATGCCCGGCATTTCCTTACCTTGAAACTGTCCCATTTCTTATTTCTGCTAAAATATTCCCTATCCTTTAAAGTTCAAATCAAAATATATGTCCCCTAAAAGAAGTGACTCTGCTTAACATAGCCACATGCATCTCAAATGAGCCCAAAATGGTTTCCTAACCTTACAGAAAGTAATCCTTATATCCCGAGTCCGTGTAAATCCCCTGGTTGGTCTGTTGTCAGAGAAAAACGCATGTGTTAAGGTGCCAGCTTCCAAGTATCTTTCTTTGAACAACCCAGATGTAAATAGGCTCCCACTGTTGTGAGTTGTACTGTATGTGATGAATTCGTTTTGTAATTTTTCCCCAAATCATATACAGATTTAAAAAAGAAACTTCCTTTTTATGTTAAAGATATTTTTCTTTAACGTAGACCCAATAAAACTTTGTTAAATAGAAATCAGTGCATAGTTAGGTGGGCCTACTGTTCTGTTCTGTTCTGCCCACTTGGGAAATCACATTTAAAGTGGCTCTTCTGCCAGTACCTGCTCTCTGTGCTTCAATTCACAGCTATCTCACTTTTTAAAAATGTAAAATTGTTAAGCATATTGAAAAAGATTTTAACCACTTGTATTTTAAAATCTAATACCACCATGAATGGAATTTATGATAATTAAGAATAATGACAGAAAATAATTTTATTATTATTATGACTAAAATGCCATCTTCTATTATTTACTTTCATTTTTTCAAAATGAGTTTGAAGCCATTATCATAAAGTAGATATACACAATAAAATTAATAAATATTAGATCAGTAAATACAATCTTAGCAGAGTAGGAGGGGAAAGCCAACTGGTAATGCCACAGCAGGGTCTGGTCTCATCTGCGTACAGTGCCGGCCTCGGGGACCAAGCCAGATATCTCGGCGGAATCAGTCTCCCTACCCTGGGAATCTTGTAACGGCTTCACTTTATTGAAGGATAAAGTATAAAACAATGACAGAATGACTTCTGTCAGTTTATAAAATTCATCTCAGCCAATATCACGAACATGGACGCAGACCAACACGTGATGAAACCGAATCATCATAATTCAAAAGTGACACTATCTGTATATACAGCAAAACTGTAAAATACAGCTGAAGGGATGAGGGGCGACATGTTTGGACATGAAGGCACAATTACCTTTTTCTGAAAGAGAGAAAGATAAAGCTCCAAGGGTTCTGTACTGACTTGGGTTTTGACTAGGGCTCCCATTTCTGACTAAAAATAAAACAACTAGATAAAAGCATGGCTGTGGTTCTTCAGTACTGAAATCCAGCATTTTGTCAGATACATCCTGGCACACAAGCTGTGTAAAAAAAACCACCTTAACTCCTTTTCTTATGAACATTTGCTAACTAGCCACTTCCTACCCCTCCACTCACATGAAGTGTACTGAGGAATTTTAAAGTAAGGACGTCACAAACAGGAGTACACTCCTGATACACCTTCAGAATATCAAGCACAGGTTAGATGCAGCATGGTTGCTGACTAAAACGTTATTCAGGACAATCACAACTATATGGTAAATATTTAAAACTCAGTCAAACTCAACCATCATTTGAAGAAAATTTGCTGACCCAGATTATCTGCTTACAGAGAAATAAACACTAAAGAAAAAACTAGAAAAAGATAACAGCAACTTAAAATTCTTGTCCCCTTTAATAGTCTCTGTGTTTAACTTAAAAAAATTCAAGGCTCTGCGCCTATAGCTCAACCGGCTAAGGCGCCAGCCATGTACACCTAAGGTGGCGGGTTCGAATCCCCAGCCCGGACCCGCCAAACAACAATGATGGCTGCAACCAAAAAATAGCCGGGCGTTGTGGCGGGCGCCTGTTGTCCCAGCTACTTGGGAGGCGGAGGCAAGAGACTCGCTTGAGCCCAGGAGTTGGAGGTTGCTGTGAGCTGTAATGCCATGGCACTCTACCCAGGGGGAAAGCTTGAGGCTCTGTCTCAAAAAAAAAAAAAAAAAAAAAAAAAAAATTCAAGTATGTGGTCATTTTATTTATTTTTTGAAACAGAGTCTCACTTTGTCACCCTCAGTAGAGTGTCGTAGTATTACAGCTCACAGCAACCTCAACTCTTGGGCTCAAGCAATTCTCTTGCATCAGCCTCCCAAGGAGCTGGGTCTACAGTTGCCCTCCACACTGCCCAGCTATTTTTAGAGATCGGGTTTTGTGCTTTCTCGGGTTGGTCTCCAACCTGTGAGCTCAGGCAATTCACCTGCCTCAGCCTGCCAGAGTGCTAGGATTCCAGGAGTGAGCCAGTGCACTCAGCCCCTATCTGGCCACTTCAGACAGTTTACATGACCAAACGAATAATCAGACTGTACATTTTCATTGTGAATGGCACCAAGCTGATGCCTACCTGACAGCCTGGCAGACCCAGCCCCATCTTTACCCTCTTCTCCCCTCCTGTATCTCACATAAGGACTTGTGAGGTCAACAGGTTTATCATTAAGTCCCAGTGAGTCCGCTCTGACTCTGAGGACAGCCCTGCAGGGCAGGAAGATGTCCTCTCCTGATTGTGACAGGTTAGGGGAGACTCAGAACCTAAAGTCGTGCACTCCAGGCCATACAGCCAGGGTGTGGCAGAGCTGGGATCAGAACACAGAATGTGTCTAATTCCAAAGAGTTCATCCTCTCTCCAATATTTTATGATGGTTCTTAATTTAAGCATCATTTTTGATCTATATAATTACTGCCAAAATAACAATGACATCAAAATCATTAGTAATCATGGATTCAAAACTAATCTTCAGGTTCTTTAAGATCTGACAAAATTTCTCCATTCATGAGGAAAATTTGTTTTTCCAAAAACCAAACAAAAAACACAACTCCAGAATAGATTGTTTAATTCTGTGACAAGTTGTTGTTCTAATTCCAAGACACACAACAGAAGCAAGGCCAGGCAATTGGCTGGAATGAGGCCCAAGCACCAGCCAGTCTGAGCCTGGCTTCAACTCATGTCCACGTGGCAGCCCAGCCCCAGGACTGGGCGTTTGGGAGATTGCCAATGATGAGACACCTCCCTGAACAAACCAAGTAAGCACAGTGTTCGAATGACCAGGCAGGCAGCAAAGCAGTGGTCAGTGCCACCCTCCTGGCAACAGCAAAGCAAAGTTGGTCACATGCAAGTGTATAGGGCCACTTCACATGTCCAATATACTAGGCAAGGCAATCAGTATAAAAGTAATTATGTATTCAGACAGCCAGTTATTTCTATAGCCTCCCATATATTTTTTTATCCAGTCAAGAGCACTCAATCAAATTACTCAGAATTAACATGAATAGTTATCTTGTGTTGCAATGGGAATATTCAGTTTGCAAAAAGTAATTTCTCTTTTTATCACCTACACCTACTCGTGCTGCCTGTATTCTAGATATGCTTTTTCTTTTTTTTTCAGTTTTGACCGGGGCTGGGTTTGAACCCGCCACCTCCAGCATATGGGGCTGGCGCCCTACTCCTTTGAGCCACAGGCACTGCCGTATTCTAGGTATGTTTTTAATATATATTCTCCCAACCACCTTCAGTTCAAATGAGGAGAAACTTAGTTCCACCTGCCTACAACTGTCACCTCCAGATCAAGACCCAGCATGCTATTTCCTACTGAGTTATCCCAAGTTGGGCCCTCACATGGTACTGATGTCTTTGTGTAGAATGTCACATCTTTCCAGAGCTCTTTTATATTCTTCTCTTTTGGAAATGCTTCATAACTTCCATGACCCTTGTAAATATCAGTAATGTCTGGCTCAGCACCCGTAGCTCAGTGGCCAACACACCAGCCACATACACTGGAGCTGGTGGGTTCGAATCCAGCCGAGGCCTGCCAAACAATGACAACTGCAACCAAAGAATAGCTGGGCATTGTAGCGGGTGCCTGTAGTCTCAGCTACTTGGGAGGCTGAGGCAAGAGAATCACTTAAGCCCAAG